TTTGCATGTTTCTCTTTTATTAGATAAGATTCTTTTATAAATCCTAACTGCCAATCATTTATATACCATTATGCATTTCCCTTCCTTTTTTTGTAAATGCTGTGTATCATGTGCCTCTTTTGAATTGCCCACTATGCTTTGTCACTTCCTTGAATCTGTACATTTGTCAATGGATTAGGAGCTACACTATTGTCCTGATAACTAAAGTCTTTTAAAGATATAGATCTTTCCTAGCTTTCAAACTATTTAAAAATACATTCTAGGTTTATCATGAACTCTTTTCTCCTTTTATTTCCCCCCAGAATCTGCAGTTTGTTATACTTTCCCCTAAAAGTAGTCATTATGTCTTGGGTTTTCAAACACTTCCTCTCCCCATTACTTGGTTGTGACAATTTCCTGGGCTATTTTTTTTTAAATTTTATTGATTTTTTACAGAGAGGAAGGGAGAGGGATAGAGAGTTAGAAACATCGATGAGAGAGAAACATTGATCAGCTGCCTCCTGCACATCCCCTACTGGGGATGTGCCCGCTACTAAGGTACATGCCCTTATCCGGAATCGAACCCAGGACCCTTCAGTCCACAGGCCGATGCTCCATCCATTGAGCCAAACCAGTCAGGGCTTCCTGGGCTTTTTAGAACTGTTTCTACAATATGGGTAAATTGGCTGAGGGGCTCTCTCATGATATCCATGGGAAAATTTCCACCATAAAATTCATGGGCTTTTTATACTATTAAGCCTGGGAGCCAGAGGATGGGGATTCAAATCCTAACTGCCAAATAGTAAGTTGCTAACTTCTTAAAGCCTCAGTTTCCTCACCTATAAAATGGAAGCCTAGCACCTACCTCATTGGGTTTTTGTGAAGGTTAAGTCAAATATCTATAATAATAAAAAACATGCTAATTAGACTGGACATCCTTCCGGGCGTCCTTCCGGACGACCTTCAGGATGAAGCTGGGGGGTGGGGGCGGGAGGGGACCGAGCCCCTTGCACGAATTTCATGCATCGGGCCTCTGGTTGCATGTAAAGCACTTAATATCTGTCTAGGAGTAAGCAAGTGATACCTGGTGACTGCTATTACATGGGCATTTCAGAGGCCTTTCTACTGCTCCCTCCTCCCCCCTCCCCCTTCCCCCTCCCCATTTTGAGAATATTTATGAATTGATTTGAGTCAAACTGACAACATACGCTGGGGATCAAGACCTCAAATGCTCCCTCTACTGCTTATTGAACACTGATTATGATCACAATTGTAGGATATGTTGCAGAATGTGTAGTCACAAATCATGCAGCATCTTCTTTAGATGGCAAGAATCTTTCTTAGATATCATGTCTTCACACTCCTTATGGGAATATGAGGAGAATGGTTTATTATTTATTATTCAGACTCAGAAGCTATTCAGGCTAAACTAATTTCAGGTGAATAACACATTTGCAACCATAGACCCGGTGGTATCTTTTAAATGAGTATGAATAGAAATTTACCTTTACTCCATACTATTTTCAATATATCAATCAATTGTTGAACTTTGGAGAAATAACTTAGTCCCGTCATTAACATACCTGTAAACGTAAGGGGTGAGTTCTGAAGATAGCTGATCTTATTTATCTTTTATCAGAGAATGACATTTTCTTACCATGTTGACCCATTTGGAGAGGACATACTGTTAAGAGTTCCTATTTTCCCTGTGTACTGAAATGAGAGTGCCCAAATTTATTGTTTCTGTCACTTGCAAATGGGCATAGTGTTCTTTCTTCTTGCACTATTTCCTGAGCTTCCCAGACTGGAAACTGGTTTGTTCATAGAATAGAAGAAAGCATGTTTAGGTTATGGTGCTTGAGAATATGTCCTTTTTTTTATTTTTGTATTCAGGTCTATAAACTGATTTTGGAATGCATAGAAAAGAAATGCATCTAACAGACTCTCACTGTGGTAGAGTAACAGGGCTATGAGCTGTTGTGGAGTTATGCAAGATCTAAATTTTCTAATTTGTTTTCCAATTAAGAAATTACATTGCTTTGCCATTGTTCTCAAACTAGGAGTAGATACGTTCTGTTCCTTATACTACCTTATTGTTTATTTTACAGATCCATTGTTTACTGTGTCAAGTGAGCAAGACCACGCACAGGCAAATGTCCAAGCATTCCTGAGTCGAAGCAGACTGGTAGGTCTAATTCATTCCCTAAGACAGTTTAATGAACCTGAGCCATCTAGTGTGGCTGTGCTGATAAGATTGATTTATCGCCCTGGCTAGTGTGGCTCAATTGGTTGGGCATTGAAAGTGTTGCTGGTTTGATTCTTGGTCAGGGCACATGCCTGGGTTGCAGGCTTGATCCTCAGTATGGGGCGTGCAGGAGGCAGCTGATCAATGTATCACTCTCATATTGATGTTTCTCTCTCCTTCTCCCTGTTCCTTCCTCTCTCTCTAAAAATCAATTTAGCCCTAACCGGTTTGGCTCAGTGGATAGAGCGTCGGCCTGTGGACTGAAAGGTCCTAGGTTCGATTCTGACCAAAGGCATGTACCTTGGTTGCGAGCACATCCCCAGTAGGAGGTGTGCAGGCGGCAGCTGATCGATGTTTCTCTCTCATAGATGTTTCTTTTTTTAAAAAAATATATTTTATTGATTTTTTTACAGAGAGGAAGGGAGAGGGATAGAGAGTTAGAAACATTGATCAGCTGCCTCCTGCACACTTCCTACTGGGGATGTGCCCGCAACCAAGGTAAATGCCCTTGACCAGAACTGAACCTGGGACCTTTGAGTCCGCAGCCCGATGCTCTATCCACTGAGCCAAACCGGTTAGGGCTCATAGATGTTTCTAACTCTCTATCTCTCTCCCTTCCTCTTTGTAAAAAATCAATACAATATATTTAAAAAAAAATCAATTTAAAACAAATCTCCACTGGTTTTTATGTTCTACAGAAATTACTTTGCCTTGATTACTAGGGGACAAAGACATCTTGATCCTTGTGGCCCAGTGTGGGGATTAATTAACTAGTCCTATCTAATAAAAGAGAAACATGGTAATTAGCGTACGTCCGCTACCCTTCCCATTGGCTAATCAGGGCGATATGCAAATTAACTGCCAGCCAAGATGGTGGTGGCAGCCAGGCAGCTTGAAGCGAACATGAGGCTTGCTTGCTTCAGTGATGGAGGACTCCAACATTCCCCGCCTGCCTTGCCGGCC